CACTCCGACCGTGGGGGTGAGTTTCGCTCCGGCATTCTCGCTGGATTCTGTCGCGAGCAGGGCATTCGTCAGTCCTGGACGCTTCCAGAGTCCCCACAGCAGAATGGGGTTGCTGAGCGCCGCATAGGCCTGGTCATGGAGATCGCCCGCACCTCCCTGACTCACGCCTGTGCCCCCCATTTTCTGTGGCCCTACGCGGTCAGGTACGCCGCGCACCAGCTGAACCTCTGGCCACGTGTCTCTCGACCAGAGGTTTCACCGACCAGTCTTTGGACAGGGTCCCCTGGTGTTGCGTCGCGGTTTCGTGTCTGGGGGTGCTTGGCTCTTGTCCGCGACACCTCCGCGGACAAGCTCTCGCCTCGTGCCGTCCCCTGTGTCTTCCTTGGTTTCCCTGAGGACTCCTCTGACTTCACCTTTTACCACCCTCCCTCTCACCGGTTCTTTGACTCCCGTGACGTCCGTTTCGAGGAGTCCACTCCGTACTACGTCAGGTACCCCAGTCGAGGTCTCCCGGCTCCTCCTCCCCCCCTCTTCCTGACTGCCGCTCCCCCTCCTGCTCCCCCGGTACAGCCTCCCCCCCCTGGCCCAGCCCCGTCAGGTGTGTCCCAGGCTACCCCTCCTCCTTCGGTAGCCCCTCCGGTACAGCCTCCCTCCCCACAGTCCTCCTCGCAGCGTGCCGCTGGTGCTAGCTCTCGAGAGGTTGGTGCTGAGCCTGTTCCTGTACCGGTTTCTGGTTCTGGGGGTGCTGGAGTTGGAGCTGGTGTTGGAGTTGGTGTTGGAGCTGTAGGTGGAGCTGGTGTTGGAGCAGGAGGTGGAGCTGGAGGAGGCACTGGAGTTTCTGGTTCTGGGGGTGCTGGGGTTGGAGCTGGAGTTGGAGCTGGAGTTTCTGGTTCTGGAGTTGGAGCTGACCCGGTGGGTGCAGAGGACTCTTGTCGTCCGGGAGCTGGTGCTGGTCGCGCGGACACTGGGGGTGAGAGTGCGCCTCCTTCAGGTTCTGGTGAGCCTGGGTCTGGAGCTGGTGTTAGTGCTGCCTCTGGGGGTGGTGCGCCTTGTTCTTCGGGGGTTGACTCTGGAGCTGCCGCTGCTTCGGACACTACTCCGCCCCCCCACCCCTACCCGACTAGGCACCAGGCTCGTGTTCGCCGTGCCCGTGACGAGCAGCTGGCGTTGGAGAGCGAGGAGAGGGAGTTACAGCGGCTGGCGGAGCAGCAGCAGCAGCTGGACCCGCAGGAGCAGCAGTCCCAGCAGCAGCAGCAGTCGCAGCAGCAGCAGCAGCAGCAGCCACTTCCTCCTCCTGTCTCGGGTCTTCGGGCCCTTGGTCTCCCCTCCCCTTCTCCTCCCTCCTCCGCCTCTCCTCCTGTCTACGGTCCCACGTTTCCTCCGCCTGACTCCTCCCCCGCTGTTTTCTCCAGTTCTCCGCCTTTGTCCTCTCCTCCTCCGTCTCGTTCTTGGGCTACTCGTCGCTCCCCTCGTGCTCGTCCCTCGTCTCCTGTTCCCTTCACTGACCTTCGTACTGCCTTACTTTGTTCTAGTCCACCTCGTCCGTCTCAGTCTGTGCTTCCGTCTCGACCTGAGTCGGCCCTCACCGTGTCGCTCCCTGCTCCCGTCACTGACTACTACCGCACGTACCGTCCTGTTCTCTCTCGTGTTCTCGCCTCTCTTGTTACTCACCCTCGTGCCTCTGTGTCCTCTGTGTCCGCTCTTACTGCCGCAGTTACTGACTTTGCCTCTACCCGTCGCCTTGACTACGCCACCACGCTTGTGGCTGCTCCTCCTACCAGTCCTCTGGCCGTCGGGGGTGTGTCTGCCCTTGGCTGTGACGCCCTAGAGGACAGGCAGTTTGAGCTAGAGTTCCTGGCGGCCGCTTCCCCTCATCTCTGTGCCATGCTCCTCGCCCCTGAGGGTGACCCCGACGCCCTTGACATTCCGACTCCTCGCACTTACGCTGAGGCAGTGTCAGGGCCTTGGGCCTCTCAGTGGAGAGCTGCCATGGACGCAGAGATGGCCTCCTACAGATCCACAGGCACCTACGTCGATGAGGTTCCCCCCCCTGGGGCGAACGTAGTCGACGGCATGTGGATCTACAGGGTGAAGCGGCCACCGGGATCTCCCCCGGTCTTCAAGGCGCGCTACGTGGCTAGAGGTTTCAGTCAGCGCGAGGGAGTTGACTTCTTTCAGACCTTCGCACCTACCCCGAAGATGACCACTCTTCGGGTGTTACTACACGTAGCAGCACAGAGAGACTACGAGTTACACTCTCTCGACTTCTCCACTGCTTTCCTTCAGGGCAGCCTACACGAGGAGGTCTGGTTACGTCGTCCCTCGGCTTTCACTGGCACTTTCCCTCCTGGGACCCAGTGGAGGCTGAGGCGACCTGTTTACGGTCTTCGCCAGGCCCCTCGTGAGTGGCACGACACTCTGCGTTCTACCCTCTCTGACCTTGGGTTCCAGCCGTCTTCTGCCGACCCGTCGCTGTTCGTTCGTCGTGGCTCCACACCGTTCTTTGTCCTGGTCTACGTCGACGACCTCGTTTTCGCCACTCCGGACAGGGTTGCTTTGGCAGACGTGAAGTCTGAACTGCAGAAGAGACACACGTGCACTGATCTTGGTGAGCTGCGCCACTACCTTGGCCTGCAGATCACCAGGGACAGAGCCGCTCGCACCATTACACTCTCACAGTCACACATGGTGCAGCAGGTCCTTCAGCGGTTCGGGCTTCAGCACTCCACCGTACAGCGCACACCTCTCGGTGTTGACCACAGACTCACTGGTCCCTTTCCTGACGAGCCGTTTGAGCCTAGTGGTCCCTACGCAGAGCTTGTGGGTTGCCTCATGTACCTGATGACTTGTACTCGCCCGGACCTCGCCTTCCCTCTCAGCATCCTTGCGCGCTTTGTTGCGCCAGGGAGACACCGTCCTGTTCACTGGACGGCAGCTGTGAGGGTGGCGAAGTACCTAGCGACTACATCAGGCGTGGGGCTAGTTCTTGGAGGGCAGCAGTCTGTCGTACTCACTGGTCACTGTGACTCCTCTTACGCTGACGACGCTGAGACTCACAGGTCTACTCAGGGGTACTGTTTCAGTCTGGGTTCTGGAGCTGTTTCCTGGCGTTCCACGCGCTCCTCTTCTGTCTCGACCTCTACAGCTGAGGCTGAGATTTACGCTGGTGCCATGGCGGCACAGGAGTTGCGGTGGTTGACCTTCTTGCTCGCCGACCTTGGTGAGCGGCCGAGCTCTGCACCGACCTTGTTTACTGACAACAAGGCGTCGATCCTCCTCTGTCGTGAGCCGCGACTGGAGAGCAGAGTGAAGCACATTCACGTCAGGTACTTTCTTCTGCGAGAGTTGCAGAGACGTGGACAGGCTCGCTTCGAGTTCGTGGAGTCCGAGGCCAACACGGCAGACATCTTCACCAAGGCGCTTCCGCCTTGTGACCACCAGAGGTGTTGTGTGCAGTTAGGCCTTGTTGACTCAGGTTCTAGTCATGTGTAGACTTCAGTTTATTGCCTGCTTCGTCTGTACACTTGCTATATATACTTGTGATCTCTTGGACTGGCCTTGTGGCCACTGTTGCTTGTGCTCAGAGTGTGTGGTGACGTTGTGATCCACCCTGAGCTTTGTTTTCTTTTGGACTGGTCTTGTGACCGTACTCTTTTTGATTTTGCTAGACACCCCTCACTTAGGCTATGGGGGTGTGTCAAATGTTGTAGCCTGTAGTGAGGTTTGTCTTAGGGGGTACAGAAGTTAGGGTTTGTTATATGTACCCCAACCAACATCAATGGAACCATTCATTCCTCATTCTGACACCATCTGCCCAAAACAAGCTTCAACGAATGACCAAGGGTTGAGCTGCTTGGTGGATGGCGACAAACGGCTCCTCAGGATGGTCAGGGGGGACGACAACCTCACCAATGAAATACATATGCTCCGCACCACACATCAGAACGGGTAATCATATTTTATCTCTTACAACATGGTTGACAATTTGATTGAAAAAGGCTGGTGATTGCAAACATTGATAAAAAGGGGATGACCATGCTGAGTGGTGATAGAAAGGAGGTGATCATGCTCGATACGGTCAGGGCCTGTGCTAGGATTTTGGGCACCCTGAGCCCTCAGGGTAACTTTTGAAAAATCTCTGAAATGCCCTGATTCTTCAGGGCAAAATTTTCTGGCCATCCTGAAATTTCAGGGCACCAGCAGAAATTCATCAGGATGATTCAGGGCAAAAAATACGAGGCACTAGAGAGGATGGAGGGGAAGGCACGAAAGGAGCAGGTTGTTCACTGGTTTCACTTCTACTGGCGGAGCAAAAACATTGGTGGGGGAGGGGTGAGGACAAAACTAGCACACACACCCTCCAGCCTCCTTCCTCCCCTCTCTCCCTCTCCCTCTCTCCCCCCTCCACCCTTTCTCCCCTTCCAACGAGTCAGGGAATCCCTCTACATTCACCCTAACGCTTCAGGGCAAAAATTCACTGCCATTCTGAAATTTCAGGGCAAAACACAAGGATCATCCTGACGTCACAGGGTAAATTTCAGCATCATTCTGAAATTCCAGGGCAAACTTAAGACACCATCCTGAAATCAGGGTAATCAGGATGTTTTGCCCTGATATCGTGGGCCCTGGATACGGTCACAAGGTGAAGAGAGAATGTGAGCCTACTGCACTAATTTCCAATTGAGTATGGTACAGCAAACGGACATCAAACACCTCACCTCAACTTCTATTTCATGAAGCATCCAGTTGCAATGCCACATGCACGTCTCCATAACTTCAGCAGAGTGTTTCTGTTCCGGATAAGGATTGCACAGAGTGGAGGATTCCCAAACAGGTTTGCTGGTAGGATTGTACACATTCTGAAAATTTTGGACGAGTTGTGTACATGTACCTTGTTGACCAATCTTTGTTTTAAAACCACAAGTTCACCATAGTATCAATTCAAAGCTGGAACATCAGGGCTGGTACACCGCAAGTTACTTCGAAAGTTTTAACAGGTCTTAGCCGCCGCCACCGCTGTAGGCCTTGCCGAAGAGAATGAGCTGAAGCTGATCATAGCCAGACAGCACACCAGCACCAGCAACAGCACGCAGGATGTTAGCACCAGCACCCTTAAAGAGGGACTTGGTGCCCTCCTTCTTGATAATCTGCATGAACGCGTCCATGGAGCTCTTGTACTTAACAGCCTCGCCAGACGTCATCATCATCCGACGTCGGACAGTGTCAATAGGGTACGAGGCGAGTCCAGCACCAATGGTGATACCCCATCCAAGCAGGAAGGAGGCAAGGAAATTGCCCTGCAATTTAGAAGCAGAAATAAATTACTGTTGTCAGTGCCGGGTTGAAGGGTAGAGAGCTAGAATGCTCTGCGAACGAGGAATAACGTCTTAAACCTACGATCTACGCGGTACGTACCTCAAGCGGGCCGACAAGCAGGACGGGCTTCAACGAGTCGTACATGCCGAAGTACAGACCGCGGTACACAATGATGCCGACGCACGAGATGGAGAAACCGCGGTACAGACCGGCGACACCGTCGGACTTGATGGTCTTGCGGTACACGTCGATCAGGCCATTGAACTGCCTGTCACCGCCACCCTTCTTGGCGGACTTGGCATCGTTTGCCAGCCGGGTTCGGGCGTAGTCTAGAGAATAGACGAAGGTGAGAGACGCAGCACCAGCCGCACCTCCAGAGGCCAGGTTACCGGCGAACCACTTCCAGTACCCGTCCTTGTCCTTCTTGTAACCAAACAAGCTCTTGAAATAATCCTTGAAGGCGAAGTTCAGGGCCTGTTTTCAAAAACCCATTAAATGGACGTCACAAGATACGGCTCGTTACGAAGGTGACCAAGGTTAGGTACAACCGAAAGTTACAATTCTGGGGATGTTTTGATGGATTCGAGCAGGATCCAGCGACACCCGCACTAGAGCAAGAACAGATCAGATCAAGCACAGATCGATGCAGTGACGGGAAAAAGCTTTCGATCTATCGGATCTAAACGGTAGTTTGACACACACCTGGGTGGGGAAGTATCGGAGCACGTTCGCGGTGTTACCACGCCACAAAGCAACGACGCCCTCATCCTTCATCGTCCGGCTGAAGCATTCGCCAATGCCCTTGTAGGGCTCGGAGAGACGACCAGCCTTAATCATCTCATCTTGATTCTGGATCAGAAGTTTGACACGCTCAATAGGAGCGGCAGCGGTCTTGGACACAGCTGCTGAAACACCACCCATTAGGAAATCGATCATGAAACCGCTCACGCCCTTGCCCTTACCCTCCGCGGCCGCGGGGACAAACACGGGAGTAGATCCAGCTCCGGCGAGGCTCATGCTGAAAGCCGGGTTAGAATAACGAGACGTAGCCGGAACGCCGGCTCCAGTCGCGAAGGAGCGATCCCTGGCGTAACCCCCGCACTGAGAAGGGGCGAGGCGTGACGCCAAAAAGGAATTGGCGGCCACATGGCGGAAAGCCGGGGAAAAAGCCCGGCCTTGCTGCTGCCTTGAAGATTCCATATCTGCGACCCAGAAGGGTGGCAGCACAGGGATGGTCACGCCCTGCACAGAGAAAATACGACAACGCCGATCAGCACCCATTCCAGCGAATGCACCAGCTCAAAAAGCATCAGGTCCCAAGTGTATTCTGACAAATTTTGAATGTAGATCTGCCATGCTTGATGTGCGATCTATTTCCACAGATCAAGAGCAGATCTGCAGAGACAGATAAGAGGGTAGAGGCTAAGGGAGAGGAACTACGGATGAGATCGGCAATAAAGCGTACCAAGTAGTGACGGAGTCGGGGAGATGGGCGAACCACACAGTGCTTGCAGACTGAACCTCGGCAGAAGAAGTTGGTGTGAAAAATGACTTCCAGCGTCAAATGTATGAAGTGGGCGACACTGGTGAACTCTCAAGGTGGCTGTCCCGAGCCTCCCAACCCCTTGCTAACCAACAAACGTGGAGCAAAAACCTCGCTCCTTACAAGAACAGCGCCGCACGAAATGTGCCGCTCAGATCGGACGATCGTGAAGCAGCTCCGACTATGCAAGCCGTTGAGTTGGCGGCTCCCAGGATCTCTGAGTCCCTCGACGAAAATCTCGAAGGATATCGACGGTCACGATTAATTGAACGTCCCGATTTGTAAGCTTCCATCCAACTTTTGGGGAAAGTGCAATATGAATAGCTTCAATACTTTTATCATGCAGCTACCGAAACAATCGGTTCTGATATACAGAACGCAACTTTACACGAGGGTAGTTTGTTAGTTACTACCATACATGCGAGAACGAAACGACGAGTGAATCAACTCTTCGAACACTCGCCTTCATTTACGAATATATGGTACGTATGTCCGCAAAATCAGCGGTCAACTTCTCGCATAGAAAAAACAACGATCATCACACTATATCAAATTGATCATTTTAAAAAAATCATATGTAATAAATTGTGTTTGTTGCGATCAGAGATTGATCGACCCTATGATCACCTCAGGAATGTCCACACACGTCTGAATAGTGGTGATGGGCCCTTGACCTCAATAGCAGAATGAATGTAAAATGCTTGAGATAAATAATACATGCAAATACAGCAAACATAAATAGTAGTACAAACGGAATACGAAACGACCTAGCTAGCCATGTAATTTAAGGGGTACATTCCCATATTCGAATTTCAAACTAACCGTGCGACTCGAACAGTTACGAAACTGTTCCCGCCAATTCCCTCGAACCTGCAATTTCCCGATGCTGTCGGCTCCGATGGTCCAGATCTATTCCAACCGTCTGCGTCGGTTCGAGTAAACTCTGACACTTCGTGTTTGTTCTTGATAGTGTGCGTTTCACTTAGCTGCGAATAGGAGTGCACAGTTGTATTTCACTATTCGTAACTCCCCCCTTCACTCCTGACCGTAGCTCGACTTAAATTGCTTGATTACTCCGCTGAGTTCGGAGCAGTGCTGGTACTGCTTGTGAAAGTTTAGAAGAGAGAACATTCTGACACTGCTGGCGTGTTAGTCGCTTCGTCGGGAAATCAGCTGCCATGTCACCCGTTGGGAAGTAAGTCAAGTCGACCTTCCCCTTCTCCACTTCGTCCTTGACGAAGAAATACCGCAGCGCAATGTGTTTGGTGCGGTTGACGAAACCACACATGTTCGCGATGCGGATCGCGCTCTGCTTGTCGCAGTGCAAGCAGAAGGCGGGCGAAACTGGAATTTTCGCCTCCTGCCGGAGTTCTTGTAAGTAAAGGCCTTCGTGAACTACTGCTGTTACTGTGATGAATTCCGCTTCGGCCGATGACAGTGTCAAACTCTTATGCAATAGTCTGTGTAGGCTATAATGGGGTAGACAATATGGGGTACAACACTTCTAGGTTTTCCTACTTGTACCCACCTGCTTGTTAGTTCATTCATTCCTCATTTCTTCACATGGTATAGAGCAGGTTCCCTAGTGGGAACGCTTCCTTGGGCCCACCACTGAAACCTTTTTTCTGACCGGAGCGATAGTCGCTCCTGCCCGAGGCGCGCCTTCTGGGCCGCCCTTCTGTCGAGCTCTCTTAGAGGCCCTTCTCACGGCCCCTCGCGCCACCCTTAGCGGCCCCGTCGTCGCCCCTAGCGGCCCCGTCGACGCCCTTCCAGGCCCCTCGCGGCCCCTAGCGGCCCCGTTGCCGCCCCTACGCGGCCCCGTAGCCGCCCCTAGCGGCCCCGTTGCCGCCTCCCTCCCTACGCGGCCCCGTTGCCGCCCCTACGCGGCCCCGTCGCCGCCCCTAGTGGCCCCATCGCCGCCCCTACGCGGCTCCGTCGCCGCCCCTAGCGGCCCCGTAGCCGCTCCCCTCCCTACGCGGCCCCGTCGCCGCCCCTACGCAGCCCCGTTGCCGCCCCTAGCGGCCCCGTCACCGCCCCTAGCGGCCCCGTCGCCGCTCCCCTCCCTACGCGGCCCCGTAGCCGCCCCTACGTGGCCCCGTCGCCGCCCTTACGCGGCCCCGTCGCCGCCCCTAGCGGCCCCGTCGCCGCTCCCCTCCCTACGCGGCCCCGTCGCCACCCCTACGCGGCCCCGTCGCCGCCCCTAGCGGCCCCGTCGCCGCCCCTACGCGGCCCCGTCTTCGCCCCTAGCGGCCCCGTCGCTGCCCCTACCCGGCCCCGTCGCCGCCCCTAGCGAGCAGCCGAGCCGCCGAGCCGCCCAGCAGCCGAGCCGCCCCTGGAGCAGCCGCCACTGCAGCAGCCGCCCTTGGAGCAGCCGCAACGGCAGCAGCCGCCCCTGGAGCAGCCGCCACTACAGCAGCCGGCCCCGGAGCAGCCGCCACTGCAGCAGCCTGTCAAACATTATATATATTGATGTAGTTGTGTAGGCTACAGTGGGTTAGCCTATAGGGGGTACACACTTCTAGGTTTCCATATTTGTACTCATTTCATTCTTAGTCATTTCATTCCTTGTTCAACATGGTATAGAGCAGGTCCTTCCTAGGACCGTTTTTCCTAAGGGCCCACCACTACCTACCTGCCTATCTGCCTACCTGCCCTAGGGCGCCTCGGCGTTCACGCCTCTAGAGGCCCTGTAGGCCCCGCGCTGTTGCACCTAGAGGCCCCGAATCGGCCCCGCGCCTAACCCTAACGGCCCGCGTCGGCCCCGAGCTCGTCCCCTAGAGGCCCGCGTCGGCCCCGCGCCTACCCTAGAGGCCCGCGTCGGCCCCGAGCCTACCCCTAGAGGCCCGCGACGGCCCCGTCCTTACCCCTAGAGGCCCGCGGCGGCCCTGTCCCTACCCCTAGAGGCCCGCGACGGCCCCGATCCAACCCCTAGAGGCCCGCGACGGCCCCGTCCCTACCCCTAACAGCCCGCGTCGGCCCCGTCCCTTCCCCTTAGCCGCCTCGAACGGCCCCACCTAGACCGCGCCGCCCGCACCGAACAGCCCGGCCCTAACGGAACCGAGCCGCCCGAACCGAGCCGCCCGACCCGAGCCGCGCCGCCCGACCCGAGCCGCCCGAACCGAGCCGCGCCGCTCGACCCGAGCCGCGCCGCCCTACCTAAACCGAGCCGCGCCGCCTTACCTGTACCGAGCCGCGCCGCCCTACCTATACCGAGCCGCGCCGCCCTACCTGTACCGAGCCGCGCCGCCCTACCTACCTACTGCTCCTGCTGCTTTTACTACTGCTGCTACCATGGCTAGCCCTCCAGTGCTAGCCTTCGATGCTGAGGGGCGCCCAGTGAAGTTCGACACCTGGCTTGATGACCTACACCTCTTCCTACAGCTCACTGCCAAGGAATACATCTCGCTGTACGATCACGCCCTAGGCCACGCTACTGCTCCTGCTGCTACAGCCGACAGCACTGCTCGCTCACAGTGGCAGACTCGTGACGCCCATGCTCGCTTCGCTATCCGCAACTCTCTGCCGATAGATGAGCGCGAGCACTTTGGGCAGCACAAGACTGCACAGGCACTGTACACTGCTGTCGTTGCCCGCTACTCCTCACCGGCCTCTGCTGCTCTAGGCCGTCTCTCTCTTCCCTACCTGTTCCCCGACTTAGCTTCCTTTCACACTGTCGCTGACCTCATTACCCACCTCCGCACTAGTGAGGCTCGCTTCCGCGCCGCTATGCCTGATGAGTTCCTCGCCACGAACCCACCCCCGCTCTGGATCACTCTCTACCACCTAGTCACGCGCCTCCCTGACTCGCTGCGCTCAGTCAGGGACCACTTCCTCGCTCGCTGCCCCACCGAGCTCACCATTGCCCTCCTCGAGAAGGAACTCCTTGCCGCCGAGACTAGCATAGTCGCTGTAGGTGCCTCTCGCGGTGACCCCCGCACCCCGTTCTTTGAGGGGTGTTCTCCCTCCCCCCTTCTTCCCTCTGTCGCCTCTGCTGCCGCTGTCGACCTCCTTGGTGCTGAGAAGGTCGGGAGTGCGTCTGCTTCGGGCGGACGCTGCAGCGGCAAGGGCAAGGGGGGCAAGGGCGGTGGTGGTGACAGCGGGAGTGGCGGTGGTGGGGGAGGTGGTGGCGGGGGGAGTGGCGCGGGTGGGGGAGGTGGCAGCGGTGGTGGGGGTGGCGGCAGCGGCGGGGGAGGTGGCCGGGGCGGAGGAGGTAGTGGGGGTGGCGGTGGACGAGGCGGCGGCAGGGGTTGGGGTGGTCGAGGAGGTGGTGGCGGGAGTGGTGGGCGTGGCGGCACTGGCGGTAGCCAGGGACAGCAGCACACTCCCTCGCCCCAGGAGGTCCGTGAGTGGTACTCTCAGCACGGGGGGGGGGGGTGGCCTTAGCTGCACGTACGTCATTCGCACTGGTGACCGCACTGGCCAGCCGTGTGGGGGACCGCACGCCACACAGCGTTGCTTCGCTCGTCTGAGCGACGCTTGGCGTGTTCAGTTCCCTCAGGCCACTGAGCTGCCCCGCTGGCTTGATCTCCTGAAGAAGGGAATTGATATCTATGCTCTAGATTTTGATGCTATTCTCTCTGCCATGTATGTGATGTCTACTAGTGGAGAGGGTTCTGAGTACCTGAGTGTCCCGCCCGACCCGGGCATTAGTACGAGTGCGTCTGCTGCTCCAGGTACCCACGTGTCTGCTACCCCAGGTGCTGGTGAGGCTGATGCTCTAGGTGCGTGCGTGTCTGCCCCCCCTGGTACTGTGTCGACTGCAGCACTGCACACCTTCACGCTGGATTCAGGTGCCTCTCGCTGTTTCTTTCGTGACCGCACTGCCCTTGAGCCCCTTGCTCGGCCAGTTGCTGTCTCCCTTGCTGACCCCTCTGGGGGTCCGGTCATTGCGACCTCCTCCACTGTCCTTCCCTGCCCTGCGGTCCCGTCGGGCACACTGTCAGGTCTCCACCTCCCCTCGTTCTCCACGAACTTGGTGGCAGGTTCTGCTCTCCAGGACGGAGGTGTTCACCAGTTCACCCCTGCCTACGAGCGTGTGACACACTGCACGTGTGCTCGTACGGGCCGCCACTTGGCTACCTTCACCCGGCAGCCGGGGTCGGACCTGTACACACTGACTACTGCGTCCCCTCAGGTCGCTGCGTCTACGTCTGCGTTTGCGTCAGCGTCAGGTCAGCTGTCTGCCCCCTGCTCGTGTCGCTCTCTTGCGCATGAGACTGTCCTCTGGCACCACCGACTTGGCCACCCGTCTGTGCAGCGCCTCCGTGCCATGCACTCCCGGTACCTTGTCTCT